AGCTGAAATCTCGGTCTGCCATTCACTGACTCTAAAGACAATCTGCATCGTAAAGGTTACGGCGAGGCGTTGGCTCAGTGACCACTGGTGGAATGTATGGGGAGTTCAGAATAGTAGAAACCCAGGCACCCAGCGTCTGGTGAGCCAAAGTTCTGGAAACGTTCATCACTGACAAACATAGGCCATAGTATACATCAGAAAAAGGGAGTTGATACTAATGATGGCACACGCAGATCCCTCAAACACCAGATGATCAGGAGCTTAAAGAATGACAAAGGGCGCTGGCAAATTTCTAAAACCGAGGAGATAAAGAGGGCTTTCGCTGCAGGCAACAGCCGCGCGCTGTTTCAGCCGATCCGATCTGTGGGTCAAAAGAAGGCAGGTGCCAGTGAGACTATAGGCGAAAAATACGGGACAGAAATTCACTTTTCCAATCGCCGTCCTGAGCGTTGGACTGAGCACTTCGAGGAAGAGTTCACCTAGTCCCCTTCAACACAACCGTTGGAAGAACCAAACGGACCCGAATAAATCACTGCCACCAACCCGCCATCAGCGACCGAAATACGGCGTGAGATTTCAATCCTGAAGCGCAACAAGGCGCCTGACCCGGATGTTCTACATCTTGTGCTCTTCAAAGAAGATGGCGAGATCCTGGTATTCATTCCGACAACCATACTGCAGAGGATTTTGAACGAGAATGGAATACCAGCCGAATGGAGCTCCTCGACTGTCATCCCAGTTTTCAAAAAGGGGACAAGAACATCATGTGAAAACCAACATGGTATCAGCCTGATATCTGTATCATCTGAAATGCTCTCTGACATTATTTTGCGCAGGTTGACGGATTATCGCCAGAGACAGACTTGTGGGAATCAAGCTGGGCTTCGGCCTGGTGGATGATGCATCAACCTTATCTTTACTTTGAAAAGCTCCACTCCTTCACTCGTCCCATGTTAATCGTTTTTCTGGATTTGAAGGCCGCTTTTGATTCTGTCGATCATCAGCAACTGTGGCGGTGTCTGGCGATCAAAGGTGTCCCTTCCAAACTTCCCCCCTTATTAGGGCACTGTATGCGAGCTCTTGTATGCAGGTGCGAGTATACGGGAAGCTCTCGCTTGAATTTACCATGCCCAGTGGTGTAAGACAAGACTGTCCCCTTTTTCCTTTGTTTTTGAACTTTGTCATTGAGATCCTGCTTCAAATCTCTCTGCCTGCCTTTGAAGCCTCGGGACTCGAAATGCTTCCGGGACGTTCCCTCACAAACTTTGGGTGTGCAGACGATGTTGCTCTCCTTGGTTCAGATCCTCCTCAAATGCAAGCAATTTTAAATAACTTAAATAAGTCTGCCGCACGGTTTGGCATGCGCTTCACGCCTGCAGTGCGTAAAGTGATGCTACAATACTGGGTGGGATCAAACCCACACCGCATGCTTACAGGTGGGCCAATGGACGTGGTAAATTTGCTTACCTAAGCAAATATATACGTTCCTGTGGACTGGCTGGAGGTGATCTTATTTCTCGAAGTTGAAAGGCCAGGGCAGATTTTGCCAACCTCCGATACCTATGACACCAACGTGACGCGAGCTTGTCTGTCAAGGGAAGAGTTTACGCTGCGGTGGTGCGATCCATATTGCTTTATGGATCAGAGACGTGACCCCTACGCTCAGTGAACATACAGAAGATATCAGTCATGGGTGTCTCCGGAGCATTGGTCAGGTCTGGTAGGTACATCGGATTAGTAATGCTGAGGTACGCCAGATGGTCCTAGGAAGAAGGAACTCTCCTGCGAGAGATGAACTACTCACGCTTCACAGGTTGAGCTGGTTGGGTCAGGTACTTTGCATGCCGGAAGAACGTCTGCCTCACAGAGCTCGTTTTTCCGATCTCTGTGCTGAGTGGAAGCGACCGATAGGTGGACAGTGTATGACCTGTTTTGTATGTTGCGGGCCGGTAGTGCAACTCTGCTTTGGTCCCTTGGCTTCCTGCTCCGCCCACTTCGGCACATAAAAAGGCACGGTAGATCTACACAGCCCTTTATGGAGACAAAGGAAACTTATTACAACTGTATTTATAGGGTAGTCACAGAGCGTTCCACAAGGTCATGCCAGAATCTCCGTGAGTGGCAATGAAGTACGAAAATGCTAACCAGTAAACGTAGTCAAGTGAGCGATTGCCGCCCCCCCCCGGATGGGGACCTCGAGACTAAAATCACCAGTGGTTAATAACATTGGCGGAAACGGCCCAATCGCGCAATCATTGGCGCTCGTGCATCAAAGCTATCGCCATCAATGCGTAGCTACCAAATTTCCGAACAAACTGAACGCCTTCGCCTTCAAGGCGTTCGCGTATGTTCCGCTTTCCCACTTTCCGATGATTGAAACTGTGGTAGCTGGAACCAATGTGTCTATGGCACACGGCTTATAACCGATAAATTGAATAATTGTACAGCTGTGGCTGCATTTCGATGGCTACCCTCGTGCAGCTGGAGGGAAGCAATAAATTCGAGGTACCCCCAGGTCAATGAGCCCAGATATGTACAGCTAAATTTGGGTTTGAACGACGGATTTGTTTATGATTAGTTTCTCACCTTAGCCGCTAAGCTATCTTGGACTAAAAGAGGGGTATTAGTGATGTAGGATCAAGCAGACCTTTAAAATGTGTGCAGGGGACGAGTCTTGCGGAAAAATGCAGTGGACGCGATTAGAAATGCACCACAGGGAGCTATGGAAATGAAAGCCATTATTATCAGTTGTAAGAACCGCGTACTTGTCGTACATTGGTTGTAGCTGCCACACTTTCGTCCAACGATGATTTGGGGAGATGGGGCCGGTAGCTGCGTCGATAAATTGATACGTGAATACGGGTCTTTAAGCGGACTTTTAAGTGTTGGATTGGGAAAGGACCTATGCTTTGGGGGCAATAGCTTGGATGCACAAGCGCCATTGGGGACGCGATCGGGTCATGTCTGACAATGTCTCTAACCGTCTTGGGGTCCCCATCCAGAGAGGCGGAAATGAAAATGAAATGAAAATACAGCTGCAAGACGTCGGGTTTGGTGTGTATAACAGAACAGTATGTCGGAGGCTACGATGTAAAGAGAAAATCCGGAACCAGTGCAAGTAAAGACGAAGGAAGGGCCTACGAATCTTGCCTAGTCGGAGGCTTCATGGAACAACCTTGCTGGATGTACTTTCACATCACTTGGAAGCTGTGGGCAAGCAACAAACTGTCTATCCCTACTTAGTCCCTGATTTCCTGGAACAAAACAACCCCGTCCAGAGCCTCGCAGCCTTCCGTTTCGGCCTTTCGGAGAAAATGCCTGCATTTTCTCAGGCACTGGCACGGTGGACCACAAAAACGGTTTCTTTCGAACACATCTTTCTGGTGCCCTTTAAGGTGTCTACAGACCGCAAGCATCCGTCCCATACAATCTGAACTCCATACTATTAGGCTGCAGATTAATGTACTGGCAACCCTATGGATCAACGGTCAGGATCACCGGGACAGCCCTACATTGCAGGTCAACCGCTGTCCAGTCCGTCTGCGTTCAGATACGGCCTCGAACGTTGCCTTGCGGAGAAGCCTTCCAGGCCATTACAAGTGCATGTGGTAGTTAGGTACAGCTTCGTTGTGGGTGTCTGTTATATCCTCTTTGATAATATACCAGTCATACTCATCAGTTCGCCGGAATGGAGAAGACAAACAACTCCGAGGAAGTTATAATGCAAACAAGTGGATCGTTCCGCGATATGGAATTGAACATAACCAGAATATAAAAAGAGTCAACAGTTTAATAAGATGTCAGTGATAGGTTGAAATGTAAAAACAAGGTTTCAGAATACAAGACAAATCGTCAGCAAAGCGGATTTGTTCGTTTGGAGGTAGTCCTAACAACGTCCATGCTGTAAGAGGGGCTACCTTTATTAGGTCATGTTGTTTGGCTTCCCCGTAACGGGACCTTCTTAGTCCTGATCGGTTTGGTCGGTGTCCAAGTCAACTCTGTTTTGCATCTCAGTTCGTTCTCTCGCCGCACTGTCAGGTCACTGCAGTGATATCACTCGGCTCATCGTGAGAGTATTCCAGTCTGTCCAGCAACAAGTGGTTCTACTCCTACCAGGCCCTACACTGGTATTTCACCGTAACAAACCGATATTGCATGCTTCTGTTTCAGGTCGATTCCGAACTCCATCGCCTCGATCAACGAGGTGTTCGGCTTCGGTTGCGTATCCCCCTTGGGTAGTGCCAATCACCTTGATGAAAAAGCCAAATGAGTCGACCCGCATTTGTGCTGATTTCTCCAACAGATTCATTGCCAATGCCCGATGATCTGGTCAGCATCTTGCACAGTGGAATTTGTTTCGCCAAGCACACTGTCGCCGACTCGTATACCCAACAGAGTTTGCGCCAAAGTGCCGATCGTTGACTATCAACACCCACTGAGGTCTTTACCAACTCCTGTTCTGTGTCAAGATGACCCCTGTAATGTTCCTGCATCTGGTTGACCCAGTCGTTTCTGGAGTTCCTTGATAACGATTTGCTTATCGTTGCTACCTGGTGAATCGATACGCCATCCCAACTGACAGCCTCTACCCTCGTTCAAGAGTGTCGGTTTGTCGTGTCAACAGTCGAGTACCTCGGGTTCACCTTTGATTTGTATGGTCCACATACGGATCCGGAGAGTATGTGAAGCACCCAGCCGCTACTGGCCTCCAAGTACGCTCTCGCGCTTCACCGTTTCCTTGGTCCACCAACTACTATTCAACATGCCTGTCCCCATTGCATAGTTCTCAGCCGCCACCGGCCTGTTTCCCAGGAGTAGACGTGCTTTGGCACAGGGGGAGGGTGTAAAGTCGCGTTCTGCCAGTCGAAATATGTTTTTAGCTCATGTTTTTTTGCGTTATCGGATTTCGTTCATAATGGACCCCAATCAGATGGGGTTGATGTCAAAGAACGCCTTTTTTACTTTTCAGTTCCTTGCTGCGTGATTACAGTTGTTGCTTTATGATGAACACTCGGGGGCGTTCTCTGGTGGGTGTGAGAGCGTGGAACTTGTTCTCAGGACTATGCATTCGCCGACCAACTGTAGTGACCCCCGAACTGAACAAACTGGAACAAGACACCTTGGATATGCTGGCTGCTGTTGAGTTTGAGAAAAGCTGTTTGTCTGCACACGAATATAGAAACCAACTGGAGCAAGCACGTCTAACAAGCGCTTTGAAGAAAGGACATTCGTTATCGTCCTCTTCGTCGTCTTTGTTGACGGCTCACGAACAGGAACTAGAATGGCAGTTGGAGACCAAGAAATTCACTCCCCTCGATAGAGTGACAGGTTCGTGTGCTTTTCAATTCTGGTGCTTTTGTGTTTCATGGTTTGTTCATTTATTTTGAACCGACAATGTCATAGCTCTTCTGTACTTGTCACCCAGCGAGTATAGAATCCATACGCGTTGATACGTTTTATTTTTATGTTGCATCAGGTGTTTTCATTGTAAGTAGTGGCTGACATGCGTTTCATGGGAAGTGATTCACATTAGGTGTTTGTCTTCAGAAGTTGACGGTAGTGGTGCGCCCACTGACTACATTCTACGAATGGTTTGCAGGTCATCGTCAGAATGCACAAAGTTGAAGTACTTCATGGTTCTCGTCAGTATTCTTGGAACTAACGTTCATCTATGGCTGTGTTATGTATATAATCAGATAGCCAGAGCAAATTATCGAGCGAAAGGCAGTAGAAGATGATGGCTTCTGTGACTGAGACTTACCAAGATTACGGGACATACATCCCCCAGCGGTATATTTAATTACCAAACAGTCAGTGATTAACCGTAAGGCAATTAGATTACAGATACGGCTACTATAGGTAGCTCGGTAATCGTACCTTCGGTAAAAGAGTATCTTTCCGCGCCTTTCATTGGTGAGCGAATATGGGCACAATTTTCAAGACTGCTTGAGGACACTGCATGGATTCGAATCCGGGTCGTCGACATAGAAGTCCACGAAGCTAGCCTCTAGGCCATGTAGGCCCAGTGCAACTTCCAGCACGACTGCGAATAGCACAGAACTTGTATCTCCGAGATAGCTCAAGCGGTAAATCGTGAATCTACTGAGCGGGAGGTCCGTGGTTCGAACCCGACCTTTGCTTCTTTACCTCCCCCGTCTAGACTTGGGCAACCTGGCAATATTCCAGCCCTCGTGCTTCCTTTTGGCAGCTAGGCGGCGAAGGGGTGCTACAGCTAAACCATCTTTCTATGTGGGTTACCTGTCCTGTGCTGCGGTTCCGGGAAGTTTTTGCTAACTGTTTTTTTCCAAAAAAACTTCCCCTCAATGTCCGTCTACTTTCAATTTCAAGCGCAGATTGGTTGGTGAACAGACGAACAATGGTGCTTGTGGGTCATAGTCCGATCAACCAAAGCAAAGTGCGCAAGAGTTTCCTATTAACGATCATGAATTCAGATCTGTAAGGCGACTGCGGTGGAGCAGAACAAGTGCATGCGAGCCGAAATGAACTGATAGGCCAGATACAGTAGGTACACAGCAGTAGCGAGTTTAACCAATAATGCTCTGGGGATAGTATAACCAAGACATTTATTGGCAGAGTTCGATAGTTTTTTGTTCCGACTATTCGAGCATGTTGAGAAGTGTCCTGTAGCTTATCGTGTTCGCTTCATTTCCTAACTACTGAAGGGGGGGGGTTGCGCACGTGATAATCCAACTGGTTTACACAGACGTCACTGTATGAATGCAGTGTTGGGCGTACAACTATCGATGTTCTGAAGAACTTGGTGGTCCCTCTGGGCTTTGATTTTTCCGACGTTTCGCAGCCTCAATCACAGACCATCGAAAAGCGTTGAGCTAAGAAAAATCTTTACATGTCACTCTATTTTAGCGATTCAGCTATCGTTTTCACCGATAATCTGATCGATATTGTGCACATCTTTTCCTTTTTAGATGCTGATCGTACGAAAAACCTGAAAACCGCTTGGCGACAACTGGACAGGCCACTGTTTCTGCTCGTCAAACAGTCGTTTGGAAACGAGACACCCAGTTGGTCTCTCCCGTCATTACCTCTTGAGCGTAATTTGAATTTGAGAGAGGCGAGTTATCGAGCATTCTGTGTGTGGGTTTCGGTTTCTGGTCAGCCTTTATACAGTCAGGACGACTGAGTAACCAGTGGTTGTACTCATGGACCAATAACGAACTGTCTTAGTGAGGTTATCTAGCAGGGTAGACAAATTTACAGGCAATAATAGGCTAATGCGATGCGCGCACGGGTATTGTGCTCAACCCCAGGCTGTACAGAATAGAATAAACGCACTTGAATAGCCACAGAGAAAACTTAATGAGGTCATAAAGCTTTGTTTTAAAGTTGGAAAATTAGAAATGTCACGACAAACGTGTCAAGGACACTATCGAGGAAGAGAACGGGCTGTCCAGATCCCGTTGTTTCCCAACAGGATAACCATGCTTTTGTATTTCAGTGAGGGTAGAATTTTGGCTAGGTCAAACGATGTTTCTTTCCGTGTGATACTACCTTGGATCTAGATAATTTGGGAAAATTATGGCTACCTTCATGCCATATCATTATGGTCGCAGACAGCACCATCAGTCTTGACACTGATGTCTTAAAGTGAAAAATAAAAAAGTAGATTATGGGGGGACCTAGTGCTGGTTTACCGCAGGCATTCTGATAGTCCTGCATCGCAGAGCTCAGTTAGACAATCTGGAGATAAAATGGCAGCCTGAGCGCCGCTGACATCTGTTAGTTGTCTTTTTTTTTACAATATCTCCAGTCAGGCGCGTGAAGTCAGGTGGACCCGTCCTGGAGGGCGGAACGCACCAATATCACCTAAACGCTTCATCTCCTTCACACCGTTCTGCGAATTCACGTCCGCCTCGCAGGTTGCGCCATTCTGAATGAGGCATGCAGAACAGCATACAGCAAACGGTGTCTCTGTATGCGTGGCACGTGACCAAGCTAACGTGGCCGATGGTACTGGATGTTAATACCGAATGATTTGTTGCACAACCAAATACCCGTCTTCTAATTACCTCGTCGTTACGTCATATCCCGTTATGAATCCGACAACTTGGTATGTTATGATGAACCAACAATTCTCCGTTTACGCACTGAAGATGGTGTAAACGTCGTGAGATTATTAGCGAAGTGCACTCATTTGCAAACTAAGTTAGTCCTAGCAGCATACTCAGTGAGTTCCAGCTAAATCTCACGTCTATGCTATTAACTAAATATGCGGTACATACTTGAAAAGTGTCATAAACAAGAGATTCAACTGGGGCTCAGTTGTCTCCCGTTAGAAACTATTTGGTGTCAAAATGATGGCTCTTTGTGGATTTTGTACAATTTGGGTTCAAATAGAACATAAGATTGACAGTAACTCGGGGACTATGCCTAAAAGAAAGTCCCGAAGTGGAAGAGTGAAAGCGGTCGGAGAGTTTCCAGCAACCTTGTGAGTAGTGGGTCTCGTTGTAAGACTGTTTTCATTGCATCCCTTTGTCACCTTTTCTGTGCTGCAGATGGCTGTCAAGTTTGCTGAAAGACATCTTCCTTGTGAGTCAAAATGCAACATCATTGGAAACGCACCTGTTGCGGTTCACGTGTACAGATATCGTGACAAGAGTTCGGGTAGTCGCTTTGGTGTGCAGGTGAGTGTGACGTATTTTTCTGAATAGTTCATACATGTCGCCACTGTTTTACGCTAATTTGCCGATATTTGGTATTTTATGCCTTGTAAACGTGTTCTTGAACCCGTGACTTCCAACTGGCATCTAATTCTTCCTTTAGAAGTTAGGTGCTTCCTTCAGAAGATTCAACACGCGTGCACTAACAAATGTGACGCAATCGTTTTCTGGAATCGTTCCATGGAGGCGGAATGCCCAGCCTATTCTACTGAAGCACAAATAGTTTCACTATAATGTGGGCATCATCTGCTTGGATATGTCTCAGGATCAGTTCGGACGGTAGTCACGTCACGAATTTACAACCCGCTCAAGCCAGTGATTGCTTGGGCAAGGTACACCTGTTTACTAGCCCCATCCTGTTACCACCCAGTGGTAACAAGGGACGTCGAATATCCGAGTAAAGTTCAAGTCGACTAAGTATTTACGCAACAAAGCTCTGTCTACGAATTTACAGAGGTATAACATGTAAATTATACCACAATTCGGCAAGCTCGAAATTCATAACAGTTGACGCCTTAACAAGTTTGTTATGCAAAGCAGTAAGATGATCTAGAAAACAAGCAAATTGAAGGACCGCAAAACTGCGATGAGTGAGCGGTCTGGTGGACGAGTGCATTTGGTAGATATCATTTATTGTGGTTGGTGGGGGCTGAGGCGTCAAAAAGAATATTTTGGATGAATTCGGGGCAAGCGCTTGCTTACTAGGCATTTCCTGGGGTTCAGTTGCACCTAGGAGTGTTTGGCAACCTGAGATAAGACACCTCTAGATGGCGAATTTGTAGCCGACATTGACCCAAGCTATACAATGCCATCAAGACTTGAGAATCACTGAGTTGTACGATGTGCAATGTTTTTTTTAACTTCGAGAAACCTAGCTACACGCCACTTCACAGAACATGCACTGAACCCCGTCAATATTCGGTAGACGTTGTTGATGAGGCAGTTACCGTGATTTTCTGGATTTTACCGTGGTATGCGTTACTGGTCGACTGCTCACCGACGCTTCCACGGCTTTCGTAACTTCAGAGTATTACTGGTTGTTGTTACGACACTACTTATAAGGTTGTCGTCACATTCATAGGCTCGTCAGCCAGTATGATACGGTTGTCGATGATTTCGTATCTCTTTGATGGGCCCTGATGCGAATTTCTGGTTATCAACCCACAAATAGAGACCTAATTAATGGGTTCGCTCGGAAACTTGCTATTTATTTGCCTTGCAGTTGTCTCTTGGTTGCATTTTAACATGAACTCGACTAATCGCGTAGGTTCGTGTGTACGCTTGTTACCATTTTAGTGAAGTCCGTAACAGGTTGAGTTATTCACCTAAAAGTTATTCAGACTATTTATCCACTCACTAGACGACCATTCAGATTTATCTCAGTAGGCAGCAGTTGGAAAAAGAATCTCTTAAAAGCCTGTTTACCATAAGGGAGTTGAACATGTTCGTGATAGTGCTTTCTTGCCTCGTACTAGGTGACAACTGACATGTTGCCGTTAACCACCGGGACAGTGGGTGCCCTGAAATTTAACCCAATCTTTTGCACGACGTGCGGAAATGAGAGCTGTAGTTTAGAAAGATTAGTACCTTGTGGAGCACTGGCTCCGGTTAGAACAATGCTAGAAAAACGTCACTAGGTTCCATTACATACCATTTTCAACGCGGCCGTGCTGTGCACATCTAGACTTGTGGTCATTTGGGATCACATAAACACAACCGGATTGATGTCCTAACACAAGATCTGTCGGGTGCTGAAAAATGTCCCTAGGCTTAATATAGCCCTCATACAAGTTCACGAATTAGTGCCTGCTACTTTTTTTGTTAGGCGTCCCGCCCTAATATTGTTACCTTCAGAAAAATACTACCGACAAACTGTGTCGTTTGCACCACAGTGAACCTGCAGCCTCCCGAATTCGTCGATTTAACATCCTCAAAAGTAAATTTGGGTGCGTACTTCGTATTCTAACAGATGGTGGATACTTAGTGTGTCATAATTGTCCACTGACCTAACCATCACATACCGTTATCCCCTTCCAGATGTACTTTTTCAATGCCTTCGTCGATCGCACATGGCATGGAGAACAGATCATATCCATACCCGGAGTGACTGACTTTGCATGGATTACTCGGGACGATTTAGGCTCGTTCATTTCAGACAAACGGCTCCTACGAGTGCTCAGGTCTTTCATTCACGAATACTAACTCTATGGATAAAATCAACTGTAAATATAGCCACCTACTTTTTGCCCCATATAGGCTTTTTGATGTAACCGTGGTTTTCACGTGGGTTGCTTAAATTTTTGTGGAAAAATGAAGGAAGTCCCAAATGGTGTGCATGCTTGTAATGACCACCTCAGTTTTGTGTACAAAGTCAAAAGAGGTCATCGATACGTCTCGGACGCAGTTTCGCAAAGGGTATGTACACTGTCTCCGTAAATGCATGTCGCAGGTTCGCAAGGGGATGTACACTGTCTCCGTAAATGCATGTTTCGAGAGCTGGACGCAAATTTGTCCCGCTTCGTTAACCAAATGCTCTCCAAAAGACTCTTGGTGGTGTCCGGAAAATCGCACAGCCTCATGCTTTCACTGCTCCTCGAAGTTTGGCTGAACGTGCTCGTTGGTTTCGCGAAATTTCCTCCTCTGTCGGCATACTCAGTTCGGTTGTCTATAAACAGAAATCACGGAGCAATTACAGAATAAATGTTCATCGTGTGTTACATTGTATGTGAAGCGCGCTGACTAAGCCAACTGTACATGATGCAAGTAAACATAACTTAGTGCAACTTTAGCTTTGTTTTGAAAGCAAGACGTATACTATCGAAGTAGAGATGGACCGCGGTCATGTATGGCTTTTACAGTCGCAAATGCCAGAAAACAAACATGGACTGACTAAAGGGATTTTATATATTGACAATAATTTAAGAACGGGACGATTAGTTTCTGTTATGCGAGGCCTTTCACAGCCCGAAAGCCACGATCACACCAGAGTTGAACCCACACTTGTAGACAGAGTAAAGTTGAGCCACGAGTGGCCGATTATTGAAGGTTGTTTGGCTTGTACCTTTGCCATCTCTCCTCTGTAGAGACCGACCAAAACTGATTTCCATGTGAGGACTTGTTCGATATCCTGAGGTAAGTTTCTTGCAACAAAAGATAACCGTACCTCATCCAGATCCTGTTTTTTTTCACCACTTTCTGAGTGGTGAGCTGTTGTGAAGCCGTACATGTGCAGCATTTTGGCATCACCAACAACTTGAAAAACGAGGCAGATGAAATAGAGTTCCACTCAGCACAACCTCAGAGTGCATATAACCCACCCAAAAACCGACGCGCACGTTAAGGTCTATCGGGTTAACCTCAGCTAGGTTATTTTGGGATTCAATGCTACGCGAAGCAGACTTGCCGGTAAGGACACGAACTGATTGAACTCAGCTCTTATTGAGAGGTGAGGGATCACCCAGTTTTATTGTAAACAGTGCTGTGGTTGGGTATATTCTATCACTTCAACACTATCCATGAGCAGAAGTGAGGGCAGGGTCGCACCAACGCTAAATTGATGGACATTCAGTTTGAATCACGTACGTATGCCCATCTGGGGGACCTGACAGACAGCGACTCCGAGGCTGCGGGATCTAGTTGACGCAGTAGAGCCTGTCTCCTGTGGATACCAGTCATGCTAGCAGTTGTACGATTGGCTAGCGCAACGGCCAATCCGACGTCGGTCTTGGTGGTGGGAACTGAGAACGCCCACTTCACTATTCGATCCTCGAGCGAGTGGAACGAGATCACAGCCAGGCGACCCGCACGTCCACCGGGACAGGGAGTGGCAGGTTTGAGTAATTTCTCGGCGAGCTCTAGACCAACACACAATTCGTTCAGTTCGTCGTTGACGAAAATTCGAAGGGCTTGGAATACACGAGTAGCGGGATGCGTTGATGAGCTAAAGAGAAGAAAAGTGAAAATCTTGTTTTTATACGTCGATGAAATAGGCAAATGGATTGCACAAGCCTGAAACGTCCCGTCTCTCACCGATTCTGAGTAAGGGTATTATGCTGTTCTTGGAGGTGGAAGGTCTCCTCTCAGGAGTGAGTTTTTTCTTCTACACAGGTGTATTCAAGATATCCACTTCAAGACCCGAATGCGAATTTCTTTAGTGGAACAGGCTAATAGACAGATGGAGGCATTACAAGACGCTCACCTAATTCGCCTCCGACCCGAGCACCATCAATCTAGTATCTATGTTAGAAATCAATCGAACAACGACCAAGCCCTCCGACACTGATTTCAGCCAGGACTGTGCGACTGCACAGCGATACAACTCCCCAGGATGGATATCCGAGTAATTGTGTACGGCCGAAATGACCTACTTCAGGGACGAAGCTGGTAACGGAAACCAGACTCCGGGCGATCTAATTATCATCTATCAAGCGCCAAATCAGCCGAACTATTCCCTCCGCATAACATTCTTCTATTAAAGCCTACCCACCAGGATGATGAAAGAATCTTGGAACGCGCTTTATCGATGCCGTTTTGGCTCTCATTCACTCTCATTTAACAGACAACTTGGTAGATTTTGAACACTGACATTAGGATATCATATGACGTACCGGCAGTGTCCATAATGGAGCGCTTTTGTTTAGTTGACTCCACTTTCTTGTACACTTTTATGGCAGTCCTATGGAAATTAGTAAGCACATTTTTTCATGCGCTTTTTGCACTAGAAACAAGTATTATTGCTGCGTACCCTTTAAAAGAACGCTAAAAGATCCAGTTGTTGCCAAGGGGTAAAAGGGGATTATAGTGCCCACTGAAGTAGTGTTGGAGCGATTTCTGAAGCGATTGAATAGTTTGGACGGAGCGGACTAGGTATCTATATGATTTTCTATTAGGCGTAAGGACAATATAATCTCTCGCCTTGGGACGGTGTTCTGTTGGCGTGCTACTGTTGAATACTACTGAATGCGTGCGTCGGGTGGCTAACTAGAGACTACAAGGTGGTGGTCTTCGATGTAGTCACAGAGAAGCACCTTACGGGACACACTACTTACCAAAAATATTTATACTTTCACCGTTCGGTGATACACGGCAACTGATGACTTGTTCTGTTCACATTTTTGTTTTCATTTTGCATTCAAAGTTTTGTGTCAAAACGTTTACTTGAAATATAGAAGCCCGAAGTTCTATTCCCTTGTCACTTTTAGAAATGAGGAGTGTGCACACGCTCACCTTCACAGGCCGTGACACCGCAAAAACGGGGACAAGCCAGAACCGTGGAATTAGTGTGATTTTTGAACTATTAACTTGACAGAACCAATGAGAAATAAAACTTTACTAGAACTTCAAATCCGGAGGATGTAGTGTCTCAGGTGAGTTAAATCGAACGCAATTTCAAGTGCAGATTCCAACTCTGGCCGTTCGTGCCTTGGTGCACGGCAAGTCAAGCAACAAGCGAGGTGCATGGAGATGTTGCCAGATGATTCAGAATTAACAGTTACCGAGATGTGAGTTCAAACGACAGAACCATATTTCGCGAGTTTACATGTTATCCTTCGTGCCAACCCGGGTCTTGGTTGTTGTGCAATACGGACAGGAATGCTGCTCCATTCCGCTTCACTGAAACGATGCCACCGGTCACGGTAGCGTTGAATAGTTATGAAAGACGTCGGGATAAGGGGAAGCAACGATACATGCATGAAAAAGTCCAGTGCAACACAGCCGTGAACGGTATATCAGAGTGCACTGGCCTTAGTCACAGTTCTTTATTCCCCGATATTATTAAGTTCAGAACCTGAACCTGCTTGCACCAATTCGTGAAAGACGATGGCATGAAAATTCAAAGGTTTGACAGTAAGGTTTTTGGATAGTTACCCATCGAGATAAATGAATAGGGAATGAGAAAACGAAGAGTTGGCTAGGTGATCGAATAAACGAAATCAAACTCTTGTTCCTAATGCATAATCGGTACCACAGGACTGCTATTGAAACAAACCTATCGCTATCCGTTACATTTATGTAACGAACGCGAAAAAAAGAAGACTCATCTCAAGCTCCACCATCCAACAGTACAGATGATAATAGGCTGTCATTTGGCCAGCCACAGAATAATCCAAGTCAGCCTTAAATCATGCTATCAAGCGCTCCGTGTGGTAACCATTTAAGACATTCGATTATACGCACCTACATCAGAATGGCCGCACACGAAAACGAAAGAAAAGTGCGTAAAAGGGTAAGAAGAAGCGTCCGCAGTAGTCTGTTTCCGATTACTCGCCCTGCTGTACACAGCAGGTAAGACGACCCGGTTGATGACACCACGCGATGACCGGCCACGGTATTTTTAATCGTAAAAATCATGGTTGCAAGCGGGCTGGGACACTACCAGGGCACTCACACCTAGACAGGATGACGATTGGGGTCCTCGACTGAAATCTTTGTCTCAAAAATCTGACTTCAAGGCAGGGGGTTTGGGCGGAAAATGCAAGTGCATCAGCACGCATGTTCCACCTCGCAACCTGGATGACCAGTAGACCCTATGTCAGATCTCTAACCAACCTCTGACCAACCTGATGTGAGCTGTTTTGTGAGTGTCACACGAACACCCCGCCAGTATGGCTCAGTGGGTGACGGAGACACTAATCGTCACACCACGATAAGTTTCTTGGTTTCCAAGTTGCTACACTTGGTGAATCACCCTTAATATGTATTCTCGTGTTTTGTTGTACTGACATCAGTGAACAAACAGCGTACTCAGAAGCGCGGGATGTTTACTCATCATTCATGACGAGCCCAAAGAGACCGTGTTTCGAGAAATCCTGAGGTACTCGCGCAGTGCTCGTTCACTTTGCAATCAGGTTAAATTCAGAGGCCTAAAATGAAATTTATATTGACGCGCGTTGACTTTCATTTAAGTCTACTAATTTGTGTTTCAAATCAACTTACAGTAGTTGAGCAGTGAAGCAAAAGGAAGGTGGGACAAGTTTCAGTGCTGTAAAAGTTAGTCATAAGAAAAAAGACCATTGTATTCGAGGAGAAGGCGTATGAATTCGAACTGAATTAGTATGTTAAGTTGGCGTCAGCAATAGAATTTGGGTATCTGCCGCTGGTCAGAGCAACCCTAAAAGGATTTACAGATATTAGGCCGGGGAAATCAATTTTGCCCAGGCTGCAGTCCGCTCATTACTGAGACGCCACTTTCACCTTCCGAACCGTGAAAAGCTGAGACGGTTCAATGGCATTTCAGGGACGGTAACGTATCCCTCAGCCAGCGTTTCTCGTACGATTGTGACTCATTGTTACAGAAAAACAGACACATACAAGAAAAAATCAACTCACCCAGGTTGTGCGTTAGTCGACCGTGAAGGCACCACTGAACAGACTATGTCTGCAAGCTGCTTCGTAGTTCGTATCGGTCCAAGAGTGTGACGATGGTCAGTGATCGCATTGGCTATTCGTCGTGAGTAACGTTCCTCACCATAAAGGCGGAAAATCTGTGCCAAATCAGCAGCACTAAGGTTGTTTAGAACATCCGCCGCAGTTGGTGTAGACCTGAATTACAAACACAAGAAAGTAGTGATACGGAAAATTGGTGGCGATGAATAAACAATGTTCATCATAATCACCCACTTTTAACTAATAGAGCATCCAATAACCGAACCATGAAACCTTCGGGATCGACATACCTGTGTGGAGCGCACTCAGTAATGGTTTGCGTAATCACTCATCAGACAAGAGATACAGGACAAAGCAAACGCCATCTCCAGACCACCTGTAGAGACGGCTACATCCGTATAGTCTTGTCTCACCCTAGTACTGCACACGACTGATATTTTATCTGCTTCTAAGTTAAGTCAATGTGCCGTCTGTAAGTTTCTATCACAGAAGTAATCAACAAACGTATATTTAGACTTATGAATACAAAGGTGTTTTTTACAGGCGATGAGTTTCAAACAACGGGAAGATCGTTTAGTCCCACGTGATTCACCACTGATTTTGCCAATCTGTCACTAATTATCGAGTACCAAAGAGACTGAACACTGATTTCGCCAATCTCAGTCACTAATTATCGAGTACCAAAGAGACTGACGTTCACTCCCTGTTTTGCTCGGTTCTGTCAGTTCTAAACATGCCTGACCCGGTAGGAGAGATAAAAATGGCCTTGTTCCCATTTGAATATGGGAATACATCGGACTGCTCACGTTGCAACACTCCCTTAACATGGCGGTTTTTTGGCCCTCGGTCTCGTCGCACGGCGTGTCCTAATACAAAAAGTTTGCTTTGATGGGTGCTTCAACGGTAGGCCATGTTTAGTCATCATCATTGTCATCGACAGCATGACATCGGTGTTCAACACCGATGCTTCACTGCCATGTATAGTAACTTACATCATAACAACCCCGCGCCCTAAATTGCAATATCGTCCGCGCTGTTCAAGAAACTAAGAAAACTTGCATCCAAAAAACACGTCAAAATTCAAACGTACCCATTCGATACAGTTGTATTTGTCAGGGACAGAAGGCCAATTTCCTTAAGGTGGAATATGTGCACAGTACTTGGTCTGTAAATTCGTACGGGAGCGAGATGGCTCGGGTGGGTAGAGCGAGAATTTACTGACCGGAAGGTCTGTGGTTCGGGTCCGACCTCCGCCTCTCGACTTCCCCTGTCTAAGCTTGGGCAACCTGGCAGCATCCCAGCCCTCGTGCTTCCTTCGCGTGGCATGGCAGCAAGGCACCGAAAGGGTGTTACAACTGACTGGTTATCCGTAAATTCGTGTTGATTAGACTGACTGTCTGGAGATTCGAAACGACACCATAGTATACATGCAAACGATAGATAGCGGGGACATCAGTGAGTTGGAAATGAGTGTTGTTGACAGCAATAACAGCACTTACGCGGGCCCATCCATTCGCATATCAAGTGAGCATTCGGTTTTGAAAGCGAAGCCACGCTCCGGGTTGTCCAGCTGCATAGAACTAACCCCCAGATCCATGACAATCATATCAACTGTGCCGGCACCCAGACCATGCTGTTGACACAGTCGTGGTAGATCACTGAATTTGCCCAAGAGGGCTACAAACGTCTGACTGGGAGAAGAGGGAGATTGGCCAGAAATTAGAGTCTGCGAGATCCATTCGTCAATGGTTGTCTATGTGTTTAACAGAAGGAGAGGCAGTTCACTACATAAAATTCAGCAGAATTTGAAAAATTGGTACGCGACAGCTGAGGTAAACCACAATCCCCAACCAACAGCATATTGTTTGAAGTTCGTGTTGAGAAGGACCGTCGCCGGAAATCTAAACCCACTTGAGGTGTCTGTCTGGATAGGTAATGGGACGTACATCCGTCAATAGTGTTCAGGACATTTAGTGGACACATTTCGAAAAGGATTTAGCCCATGGAATTTTGAAACAACGTAATCGTCGAGTAGGCGACCAGTTTTAAACCGATATTCTCATGCAGATGTATGTGGCGCCAAACACGCCTTAAGGTTCAGTGTCTTCCTGAGTTGTACTGCTAGAATTGTGTCGAGGATCCCAATGCTCGCGCGGAATTAGGTCGGAGAATTCAGTCAATCAAGAATATGTATAGTAGAGTGTGTGGTGAATAAAACCATTAAATCCACGGCTATAAGATCTGTCAATTCAACCTGGAAGATTCTGTATGCGCGAAGAACCGAAGCCGGTATAATTGGCCAAAGCCAGAAGAGCAATTGTAGCATTTTCTGCTAACCAGTACTACCACCACTGGTAGCATAATGGACGACAAAAGCGAACAAGTCAAAAACTGCAGTGGCATGCCAAGCTACAACTGCTACAGTTGCTTCTGTTGTTGTGGAGGGACGACGCTAAGAAAAGACTCGTCTTCGCTCGTGTCTTTGGAGTTTCTTCGGAAATATAAGGCTCTCTCACACGTTAGTCTACCTAGTTGCCGTCAGACGTTTCCATCGAGTTTAATGATAGTTCGATGTAAGCCTTATTCCCATAACTGTCGGAATGTTCTAGTGTGTATCTCTACCATGTTTACATCAAACTGCAATCTGAAATGAGGTAATGATTTGAATAGAATGATTACCTTATGTATCTCGAAAGTAGTCTTATCTGCTGTACCAAATGGAAGTGGTTCGCGTTCTGGCCGTTGTTGGTTCAAAATGTGGGATTGTACAGATCCATCAGAGAAAAAACTAGTAGATCGTCGGCCAGGCTGAAGTGTTTCGAACCCGCTTTCGATATTTTGTCCAAACAAAAACAGTTACTAGAAGACGGGAAATGTAACCAAAAGGTCACATTATGGGAGGGCTTTGAGGGATGCCACTATTCAGAACAGACGATTTTTTGTTCAGTCCCTTTCGATTGGTACATTTGTTCATCATTCAGACTGGAACACGATCGTAAAACGACTAACTATTTCTTATTTAGCTTCTTCCCCCATACACAAATCATATCAATGAAAACGATGAGAAACCCAACAAAAAAGCTCCTATTGGGGGCGACGTACCCTTTGTCAGACTTACGTCGTGCTGCCGAGTGTGTTTTTTAGTTGCTCAAAGTGCGATAGGAATTCCTGGTCTCGATCCAAGCAATAACATTTAAGACTCGGTGTGGTCTCCAGGAGTGCACGGGTGTGGCCACCGGCCCCGAAAGTCATATCCAGCAAAACCTTGAGAGGAAATTATCAGATATATAGTACACGATTCGGTAGGTAATAGTTGGAGCTGCTTGAACGTGTAAGGCAAACAACTGATGAAGTTAATTGGAAACTCGAAGACCGACCAAACTATCGGATTACTCGCACCTTAAACCATGACCTCGCTTTTACCAAATTGAATAAAGTGAATTTGCCAATGGATGATAAGTATCACTAGAGAAAAAGTGTTTTGAAGGAAGTGGTGCGAAAACGGTAAAAGTTGGTAAGTGGGTGCGATTAAAGTAAACAGAATTAGCAACAGTATCAATTCAATTCAGTTTATCAGGCATAAACCGTGTATCATGCGTATATTGGTTCCAGCTGCTGAAGTTTCAATCACCGGAAAGTGGCGGCATTGAAGTAACAACCAAGCGTTGGAAGTGACGGCATGTTCAGCTATTTCCGGGACTGAGTAACTACACAGTAAAGGCGATAGATCTGATGCATGAGCGACACAGACTGCGTGATTGGGCCATTTCTGCCAGTGTAATCAACAATTGGCGAGTAGAGTCTCGAAATCCCCATCCAGGGAGGCAGAAGTTGTTGACCCGTCTCAGCTTACTGTTTAGTGTTTCTATACTTCGTTGGCAGGTCGTACACTGTCCACCTCTCTATCGCTTCCACGAAGCACCGGGCTGGGTGGAAAGAACTCTGCAAGGTAGATGGTCTGCTGACATGTGACGTACATGTCCTAACTAGCGTAACCTATGAAGTGTGAGTGATTCACCTACCACGACAAAGTTCCTGCTTCCCAGGGATCATCTATTATACCTTAGCATTCATCATCATCATTGTCAGCTGTAATAACTGCGTACTCGTCGTACAGTGGTTGCAGCTGCCGCAGTTTCGTTCACCGATGATTGGGGGGGTAGGTAGCTGCGCATTGCACGCGCGAGCTGGCAAATTGGTACATAAATCCAGCATTGTCAGTGGGCTGTCAAGTGGGGGGTTGGAAAAGGAGCCATGCATTGAAAGCAATAGCTTTGATGCACGAGCGCCATTGAGGTCGCGACTGGGCCATATCTGACGATGTCTCTAGCCATTGATGTGGCCCGTCTCTTTGATGTGATGCAGTTACAGACGATATTGATGGTGAATCACTGAATCACTGAACCACTGAATCATAACTGAATACCTCATTTTTATTTTTTAAAATTCGTCAGACTAGTTAAATCCCCGCAGTTGTTTTTATGTAGTCAAAGCAGACTGGCCCCGAAATACAGTCACACAGTGCTGTTTAACTCCTCTACTCACTAAGCTGAATGATATCTTGCTCCGTGCTTACATGTACGGAAAGGAACACAACTTACATCTAGCAGGAGGAGGTAAGGAACATGTGGAAGCCGCTGATTGAGCTCACCGCAGTCTTCGTTCACTGGGGGAGTTTCCACCTGAGATGGACGAGCAGCATCCGGGCTCCAGTCCTGATCGGACTCAATGCATGTAGTCCAGGCGGAAGAAGAGAAAGGTTGCAGCGCATAAGTATGATCAGTAAGCAAGTCTGATAGGGAGGTGCCGTTTGGTTCCATCATACCGAGCGTCCATGCCGATCCACAATAGGAAGAATGATCCATGGTAAAAATCAAGTTCCTGTAGATAAAAAGCGAATGAGTCACCAGCACAAAAGATCAAGAGAAAGCAAAGTTCCGGAATTCGGAGCACCCCTTAGTTAGTTTTACTACAGAGAAACTAGTTCTGGGAGCAAGCTATGGGACAACAAAAAAGGTGGCGAATGCCCCCACCCCGATGAAGTGCCACTGCCCACCATACGTCAAAAGTAAGTTGGTAAGTCAGTCCAAGCCCCTGGGTTGGATTACCAACTCTCGTGTCTATCACTGAGACATAAAAGTCCGCCATCACCATCGTCATCGGTAGTAACACCAACAAACCAGCTATCAAAACGACCAATCACAAAACCCTCCCATTTAAGCGGAAACGGGGTGGAGAGAGCAACCAAGAAAATGCAGGTGAATGAGGTCACTGTCACAAGAAGTTTGAGTCTCTGTCGGAAATATGGCAGATCGGACGGGAGATAAGCGGTGATGTACTGATGTGACGTTAGCGACCAAACCAAGAATGTTGCAAATCGATCAAACCTTCACCTTCATCAGCATCACTTTGGCTTAAAAACGAACTTCCGACCAAAATGCTGCTCCAAGCAAGACCTGATCACCTCAGATTCTGCAACCTGATGAGTTGTCCGGGGGACAGTCGATTTCAATAAGCGGATATCACATCGAATGGACAGATGTACGGTGGGAGCCCTACGGACCATACGAAGGCACCCGCTGATTTGCCAGAATGTGAGCCAATCAGGGTCGAGTGCCTCAGCTCCGCGCTTCCCGCGCCTCCAGGATGCTTCTAAAACGGCATTGGGGAGAATTCCGTGACAACCCTTCTCCTTCATGTCAATCAAACATTTACCTTCCTTGAGCGACTGAAGCGACAACAGGTAGCCAACAAGGTTTCCTTCAGGGTCTTTGAACGGAGCTTAGACGTATGGTGATCCTTCTGACCATTGTACATTTGTACTTTCTTTGTAACTCATCATTACGCAATTTGTACCACTTTCTATCTCCCACTAAAATCTCCGCTTACTCCTCTTCTCTTCATACCGAATCACTTTTGTTTAAAATGAGCGAAAAAGAAATATGGACGCTATACAAATTCTGTACCTCGTGAAAGGCGTGTTCCCTTCTTGCTGTGTCGAATTACGCTGGCAGTGAATTAACGAGCGGTGACCTACCTATCTAGGAATATATCAAGGAACATTCCAGGAAGGAGATCGCTTTGGACTTAGTTGGCATGCATCTTGCCGACTTGCAAGGGCCTGAAGGGAAACGAACTGTCAGGCGTGCACGCACCATGGCATGATCGGAATCGAGTGGTGTGCCCCAGAAGGAACAGCAGTCTTGAATTGTGGCTCTCTCCAATGTTCCTACCAGACCTAAACAATGCTTCGGGACACCGATGGTCAAACACTGACATCTTTGGTATTTCCTTTGCGTGTAGAAGTCATGATTAAAATACATGAAGCAGTAAGGATCGTACTGCCGCTGTGTAGACTTTGCCTTGGAGAGACAAGCTGACGTCACGTCGGCGCCATAGGTATCGGAGGTTGGCAAAAGCTGCCGATTCGAGAAGTCACGTCATCTTCAACCAGTCCAAACAATTGTGCATTCCGAATGCTTCACGCCAAAATTTTTATGAATGCTCCTACGACACCTTGAATATGTGAACGGTATTTTGACCAACGTTCCACTATGGCATTTGTAAAGCAGTCATTTGACCAGTTTTGAGGTCATAAATCATGGTATTTTTGTAGAACATGAGTGCTAGTATGTTACAAAGCCCCTCCATAGACGTTAAATCAAATAGCTTCATGCAGCGGAACAGCAGGCAGTTCTTGATAGTGTGAGCCGCATGTTGTTGTGTCAAAAGTTATTGTGTAGTAATTGGCAATAATAACTGTTCTGATATGAATACATTCATCGTAGCCATGGAATCTCATCCGTTCGGGCATTTCCCCATTCTACACGAATATTTGACGTCAGACACAACCGACAGAGCATCAAACCTATGCGGTCATCGGACATGTTCATATAACTTGGAAGTCTGGCAATTCCGAAGTAGTTCAGACATTTTCACGTTCAGTGTTGCTCACAAACAAACCAATCACCTGCCCCTTTGATTCACCTATTGCTGACGACCAGAAAATCAATTGAACAGGAATCGCTTTCAATTGGGAAGTGTTGGACCGGGATGTCCTGTTACATTGTGGGACAAGCTAGTGATACCTATCGATGTTCGCGATTCTCGTGAGTACATACAGACTAGAGTTTAGTCACCCGCTACGGCGAGTAGAGAGGACAAAGAGGGGTTATGAGAAAGCCAAGTGACGGTTCACACACTCCATCATTGCTGGCTGCTGTTACGTCACGTAAAGCTACTGGTCTGAATGACCTGTATTTTCAATCTCAATATAATGGAGAAACTGTGTAACATACAAGCGCGGCACACGTACAACCGTACACGTACCAGGATCTAGGACTCTCAAACCTAGCGGTGGTTGCTTGAAAATAAGAATGATGGAGGCGTCAATCAAAATATTATCAACGCATCCGTTCATAGTATCACCAAGTGATTTCTAAGAGCTGAAGCAAAATAGTCGGATTACACTGGTACTGACTCTCTAGGCTGATATCATCATACCTTTGTTGCGACTATTTTCCTACCTTCTTTGATCATCCATCAAGTGATTTGGAGCATACTCCTCTAAATTCCGATACCTGTCGACCAAGAGTTTCTTTATTTCCACCCTACATACTGGAGTTCACGACACAATCAACCGAGGGAAAACTGGTTAGCAGCGATCAAGATGTTAATATCTTAGAAAAGTTGTTTTCAAACCCAAAGATTTTCGGAAGTTTGCTGAAACAAGGGATAGTCGTTATCTTTCCTCACCGGATTCATACATATGAGCTGACAAACATTCGGCTAACCAGTAAACGTATTCATCCGAAGAGTCACATAGACTATTTCAGCGAAGAGGAAGCAATTATCTTGTAGTGCAATTTTTGTCGCTCCAAATTCCTTCAAAACCTACAACCCCACCAGAATCATGCAAGAAACACGTTCTGGATATCTACACGTTCGCGCAGGTCTAGAAGTGTAGTCAAACTAAACGGCTGTAGCGGTTGACAGTGCTTCTCCACTATCCGTCGACCGGTTCTTAGGGAACTTGTTCAGTGTGGTCGATAGTTTATCCTACACTTAATTAACGCAAGACTTTCGTGAAGCTGAAGAATAAAATGAGGTACGACACTACAGTATACGGACTTATTCTCTTGAAGGGAGCTACTCAAGAGATTGCTGAAGACTCTTCGACAGCCCACGACTGGTTTTGCATTTCATGGACATACTCAACTAAAGAATAGCATAAACAGAATATTCATCTACAATTCAGTTGAGTTCACTGTGCACATGGGCGTACGACACGGATTTCGTAAAATTTGGGTTCAAGTAGAACAAGGCTGACGGAATCTGTCAGGACTGTGACTACCTAATGATTCTCAAGAAGGGCAACATCGACCGTGCACTATCGAGAAGTTTTCAGCGACCTTGTGAGTAATTTCGTTCAGGAAAACATTGCGAAATCTCGAATATCGCCGCAACGGAAATATGAAGCGGCATTTGTACATCACATTCAGTTAAAGAACAAGAGGATCAGACATTCAGCTGAGTCTTCCGTTGAAACCAGATTAATGCGTAAATGACTCTATTTCGCGAATACCGAAATACAGCATTCGAGTGGATTACAACTCTTGTCAGGAAACGTCTTCAACAAACATCTCCATTAGTTTTTCACGCTTATTCACATCTTGCCACGTAGAACGAAAATTCGCAATTCATCTGATAGGGGCTGAACCTCATGCGGCCCCATCGCTTTGAGGCACCCGGAGAGCCTTCGTCAATTTCCCATGATACTAAAAGTTGTTGAAAACATCAGCAAGCCACCACTTTCCTTCAGTCATAAGCTGATTCCAAAAATCAATAACAAGCTCTAACGGAAAGGTTATGAATCCCGTGAATGATGCTTTACCCAATGAGAAATTCGTTGGCATAGTGGGGGGGTCGGTGAAATAGATCTCCAACAATTACGCTACGGGATCGGGTTGATGACAGACAGTTCACCCAGCCTCGATAAAGCCTTTGCCCAACGTGTACTCGGGTTTCTCCCCTTAATTGCCCAGTTTTCAGCAGTTTAATGAAACTGTTTTCACTTGAAGTACTTCCTAACGAGATCGGTTCATCAGTCGTCAATACTAGCGTGCAGAGCCACGTGATTATACGAGTAGTTTATACGGTGGCCTCATTAGGTAGCCATAAGTCAACTGTGCTTCTGAACAAATAAGTCTATTTACTAGCTGAAGGAAAGGAAAGAAGTAAGGAAAGTGAGTTAGAAAAAAGAAAGGAATTTTTCAATCCCCATGCACCCGAATTTTGAGCATACGCATGACTAGTTAGGTGAGAAATTCTCGGAGGATGAACAACGTGGAGTATGGAGGCAAGCACCATTCGACTTCATACACAAGTGGTCAGTTTTGCCTCTAAATTATTTTGCCGTTCCGAGCAGTTGGATGACAACGCCAACTTAGACGATATTCATGCAGGTGCGTACAATGAATCAAAATGTGTCATGTTCATTGCTGGAGTGGATTCGTTTCAAATCCCAAAATGCCCACTCTAGAGGCGTTGGGGATAAGTTGAAATAACGGATAGCCTAATGTGGATCAAATCGCTTACATTCACTAACTTGACTGATTTTGTGTCAACGCCATAATATAGCCACTATAACTAAAAACGGTACAACAGGACTTTCCTTCTTCTAATACACCGGAAATGTAATGGTAGTTCGATCGAATAGACGTTGCAATAATAAGGAGAACACAACTAGAACGCCAAGCACCATACCAAGACTGTATAAGACTGCACAACCACCAATCCACCGCTACGCACTACTACGCTCCATAATAACGCACTGATGATGTCAACTCGATTGGTGACGAAACGTTTGCAATCAAATTGCCCAGCTCAGCGAACAAGCCAACGACCACTGTATAACACTTTCATCATATGAAACATTGGTTCAGAATCCAACTTAGCTTTTGTGACTACTACTTCACTTTCCGATCCTTGAATACGTGAAAAACCTCCAGTACATGATGGGCCTCCTTTTTAGATGGCCAGTGTGCGATTCGTCAAACAGCGTCAAAATATGCATACTGTCAGCTGTTCCGAACCCAAGATTTAAATGACAGATGTAGGATCGATATGTTTCTCTATACTATTGGCAACTATTTTCACACCGACCATTGCTAACACAGGCACCGAGGGAGAACGACTTACTGAAACCTTTTTTCTTGTGGTTTCTTAAGTCGTGCATGTGCAACCAAACACTCATCGACAAACTGTCTTTTACGACTTTACTGATGAAACATGTACACAAAATTTCAAGAAAAGGTCCAGCGTCAAATTTGAGGGTGTTCCTTGTAAAGCCCAAACCCTAGTCGTCGAAACGAAATATATAATAGACTAGACGTCTGCCAACTGTGATGATGCTGATGTGATTTGCGGACGGTTCGATCGTTTAACATGATACTCTTCAACTGAATACCTTGCGCGAAGGTCACATAGTAGTTCAGCTGAACCAATACGCATAATAACCAAGTACTTTCCCTCGATACGACACTGTTGATAAGGTTGAAGAAACCTATTACGCGTGAAAAACTCATTACGGTACCGCAAGCACCTCACCTAGGAAAAATTACGAGAAATTTGTAATGGGGTTCGATTTGGCTCTTAGTCACATCAAACTTTGAGAAAGAATGACGCTTACTCCGACAAACATCGGCGTAAGGACGGGTAGGGAGTCGTGAGTGGAACCAATCAGCGCGTCCGACCAGACTCTGGATAGAACCGTCGACACAGGCTAGTCGACGGAGTCACCTGGAGTCAACACTGCATTCAAGCACTTAGGCTTGTCTTAGAAACTGCCGGTAGCTGCTTCTCGCTAGTGTATGTCAAAAGTCTGAACAAGTGTTCTACGAGCATCTGCCAGCCACTTAAGCAAGTTAGATGTGTTGATGAACCTGGTCTATTTTCCGCTCCCGAATTGAATTCATCCTAGGACTTACCGAATCAACTCAACCGACCTGTAAATTCTTATCAGTAGCATTCCTTCGCTCCTTGCCCAGTATATGCTTGCAGAAAAAGCCAAAATAATCTGGATTGGTAGAACACCGCCTACATGAGCATTTTTATGCGTTACATTTCTCTGGGTATCAGTATCCTATCGTTTAATTGTAGCACCCTTTCGGTGCCATAACACCAGAAGGAAGCAAGAGAGATGGGATAATACCAGGTTGCCCAAGTCTAGACAGTGGACGTTGAAAGGAAGAAGTCGGATTCAAAGCACCGACCTTCCGGTCAATAAATTCTAGCCATCTCGGTGTCCTATACTTATGCTTTGCACGGCGCATCATGTCTGACAATTTCAGCAATTGTCTGATTGCCCTGCCCTGTCCCAGTTAGGAGCGCGAAATTGGTGCTTCGAATGGTAACAAATAAGCCCAGTCACTGATTAAAGCAACGGGTTAATGGAGTTACGCAATTGCATTAAGTCAGCAAAACGTTATCGGCTGTTTCAGTCCGGCTTGCTTCCGATTGGCGAACGCAAAATCAGGTCAGATTCGCAGCCAAAAAACACACGGCGTCAGTTCTGCCTACCTACCTCAGAAATAAGTTCATTCCCGCCCGACTGGTAGAAAACGTTACTAGAGGATTCTGGTTGCGAAGAATGCTGTCACCGAAATTGTTTCTTCAAGTGTTTCCTGAGTAGACCTTTCGTATAGAGGGGAATGGAAAGAAATCGAGATGTGCCTGAATCGTTTCAACCTTCGAGGTGGTCCTTAAACGGGTTCTGCAAGTTACACCACGGAATGAGTGACCCTAAGAGCACCTACGGTGGATAACAGAACCAACGTCCATTCGTGTTCTGCATTGTATGCAGTGCAAAACATAATAGAAGGGAAAAATATGCTTCAAAACAATGCTCACAATCCGCCTTAGCATGTCGTTTTCAATATGCTGAATAACTAATACCGCACCGAAGTAAGTTACATAACCTAAAATTTTATCTCCGGTCCACCAAACGAGAGATCTTCTAGGCCAACACCTTATATTCTTGCACACACTACTGAAAATCCTATTCCTGAAAAAATTGTGATCCGTCGTTTTCTGCTACGTTTTAACTGATCTTGGCTTGAAAGAATGAGCACGATTCAGAATGTGAGCAGTGAGGAGTTTCTGAGCTGGTCATGTAACAAGACAAACGGACGGAAACGGAGTCTGTCGCTCTAACGTAGCGGGAATGCCACATGAGCCCCCGTCAGTCAGTTTGATCTAATCAGCCAATTAATTGGGCAGACCTCTTGGGTTGGCTGGGAAAAAGAGGAGCAACAGACTACGTACACTGACTTGGGCTGCTGCTGATGGAATAATTGTTCAGCTGTAACAACCTTGCAGCGTCCAGATATTATGCCATCAGGGCTGAGACACTGCCAGGTTGCCCAAGCCTAGACAGCAAAAGTCAAGATACCGGGGCTGGATTCGAAACACGGACCTTCATGCGAGCAAGCCAGGTATAAAGGTCGATGACATAATCCGACTCGATTGGGGAATCGGTTTCATCTAACGACAGTCCAGCGGAACTTATACAATTGTTCAGAAAAATGTATCTACTATTGCAATTGACTGATCTTTGACATTTCAGAAGCAGTCAGGAATAAGACAAACGTGTCGGGAACCCAGATACTTCATGGAACTAGTCAGATCACAACAATCCAGAGATAATGGGGAAACAATATACCTTCGTTCCGCACCAGTGACACGTTTCAAGACAATACGCGGGCGAGATGGCTCAGTGGTTAGAGCGCGAATTTACTGACCGGAAGATCTGTGGACCGAATCCGACCTCCGCCTCTCGACCCCCCCCCCGCCGTCTAGGCTTGGACANGCGCGAATTTACTGACCGGAAGATCTGTGGCCCGAATCCGCCCCCCGCCTCCTCGCCCCCCCCCCGCCGTCTAGGCTTGGACAAACTGGCAGTACCCCAGCCCTCACGCTTCCTGACAGCTATGCGCTGAAAGGGTTACAAATGAACAGTTCAGGACAATAGAAGAAAAACAGCCTTTAAAAGGTATATAGTTCAAAAAGTGTTGGCCTACCTCATTCGGTTTGGGGCTCAAAAAATCAACGATTTCTCGCTCCATTACGGGAATGTGGTTAAATCTTTTGCCCGAAAACATCAACGTTCGTGGGAAAAATACGACAGCGGAATGCACTTCAGAAAGAATCCGATTGAACATCGCAAAGCTGTAGCAGAAACAATACCAAAGCCTCTTGTATTGCACGCCATGGATCATTTTATCAATGTGCTGGATTCGGTGAGAAACCAAGGAGTACAGAAATCGGGTGATGTCAACTACACTTACAGTACCAAAAAGGAAAAAATACTATTTGCCTCCGAATATTCTTTGAACTTGTTCATACTTTGCCTGGATACGCGTGTCGTGCGAGAGCAGACGTAGGTGTGTTTGACTGGGAAACAAATTGAGTTAGCGTATAAACAGCTCATCGCTGCCCCCAAGCAGCCAACAATGAAACAGCGATGGCGAAAGGTTGCATCATGGAAAACCGCTGTCTCACAAAGATGCTCTGCTCGTGACCGAAAGATCTAGTCTTCAACTACTTGCCGGCAAGTTGCAGCTTCAAATCATCTTGTAGATTCGCCAGATGCGCACCAATGGTTATTCCCAACACGGATGAAGCAGCTGTTCAGTGAATACCTAATGGACGAAATATCCATCGTGAGACAATTTTGAGATACTACTTAGTTGCGGCTAGGTCTGAGACCGGGAATGTCAGTAGAGTAGCTACTGAAAGAACTCACAGTAGTATTTCAATTTGGGATGTTGAGGATAAGGAAAATTTCAGCACCAACTCAACGGGGTTGAAAACCGCGTGGTACCATTATGTGCGGTGAAGTCGGGCGAAATGGAGCCGCAGAACTTTGAGGACCAGAGTCGCTTGAATTAGTTTGACTAGGTGGGTCTTAAACGTGCTGAGACCAAACGACCAAGGAGCTACTATATCAGGATCACCAAAGACACGGTGGAGTGCCACTATCAGCACTGACAGAAAGACCGGCATGGAGTACCGGTGCTTCATTTACGTATGATCACCAAATTGCCAGTGATATGCTGAAAAACGGCGGGGAAACAGATGGAAGGTGCGTTGTCAATGCTTACGAAACCCGTAGTAGAAACACACAATACGAACCGTGCTTACAAACTTCAGGAGCGTCACCCTTGGGTCTACAGTGACACAACCTCAAGAGCTGCTCTGAAGCCACAGTGGAAGGAAGTAGTTCGCCAGCAGTGTGGTACCAGAGCACCCTGTACCAGGGAAAAATACTGCTCACTGCCCTTGGATGTCTAGTGTCCAGACACTAGGCGTCATTGTCAATCAACGGTGTTGCGACAGGCGTAGGCCTCATACCCTTATAACCGGAACAGTTTTTTAGGCACGATGTTATTTGCTGTGTCCCTGTTTCGAGCAGCTATATCATGGTAAAACAATAAACCTGAGTGTCATTGATAAAACGTCTATATTATTACCAAAGCTGTTGCCCTGGTTGTTGATTGCTTTGGTGCCCACACACCTCCCAAGATAGGATATGGGGAGTTAGCAACGGTAACCAATAAGCTCACCTGCGCATATTGGGACAAAGCTCTGGTTCCCTTGACGGGTACCATGGAGTACTTGGAGGCCAGTGCTACGTCAGCTTGTTGGCCGACGACTTCGTGTGAATTCGATACACATTCAATAAGTATTCATCAATGCAGCCATAAGCAAGTAGAGCAGGTGGTCCCGCTTTCATAACCTGTACGTGTAAGAACCAGCGATACCTCACAAATTTAAACACTTACGAAGATCATCCACGCAACTGTATCGCAGCATGAAGCGCAACCTACAACCCATGGTCAGCATCAGCCCACGGTCCGACCCATATTATCATACAAGGAATTGTGCTCGCTATGTACACTGAATGTAACGGCCACAGAAAAAGTTATGATAGTTCTCAAGCAGATTTCACAAAGCTGAGGGACCGACGCGAAGTGCTGTACGGTATGCTCCGGTGCATTCAGGCAAGAAATGAAATCAAGTGAGTCCAGGTTGGACCATCAGTCGGTCGTAAGAAATTTGAAATGGTCGTTCCTATTGTGAAACTAACCAACGTCGAGATTCGAAGTAAACACTACACAAAGTAATTCGGACAAAGTTCACATTAGCACGCAATGATCGAAGCGCATGCCTATAATCCACAGGACTTGTTCGCTCAAATGGAGTCACCGCATACCGAACCAACTTTCGAATAAGAAAACAATCTTCAGTACCAATCATCTATTGCTTAAATGTACAATCACTTGGTGCTGGCAGAACCCTTGGACTCGCGAAGAGATTGACTCCTGGAGCGTTTGCGTTCTGCACGCTCATCTCGAGCCTGTTTACGTCGCTGGAGGACCAGCTTGGCATATTCTTCCTGAGCCTTCTTGCGGGCTTCAGCACGATGTCTTTTAACGGCCAAACGATGGCGTTTTCTTTGCAGACGGAGAGGGGTAGTAAGACGTTGAATCTTCGGAGCCCTTGTACGCTCCTTTTTGCCTGCAAGATGGTCATGAAGGTAGTTTAAAAAATGACATACCATCTTTATGTGGGAGTGGTTTCCTCACGACAAACTGGCAAACGTTATCCTTCTTTGATAGATTGAATAGCTTACGGATCTTCGAAGCGCGCTTAGGTCCCAGTCGTCGAGGGATATTTTGATCAGTGAGGCCAGGAATATCTCCTTCACCCTTGCGTACAACTACCAGGTTCAATACACTCAGGTTGCTGTCCACAATGCAACCCCGCACACTTTTTCTCTTCCTTTCGCCTTTTCTTCTCGGACGATAGCAGGAATGACCTTTGCTGAGAAGCAAACGCACTCTTCCAGTCGTGAGTACGCCTTGTTTCATAGGGAATCCTTGCTTGTCGTTTCCACCCGTGATTCGAACCACATACCCCTTCCACTCCTCTCCTAGGAAATCCACGGGCATCTCCGTTGCCATGCGTTTCTCATAGAACGGACGAACCTTATGTTCATCGTCGATGTCAATGCACGTTTGTGTTCCATTCGCTGGATACGCTACGTTTAACTGAAATAAAATAGACACGAAATTTCTCAAAACAGGAATGAACGGCTGAATTAAAGGTGGTTCTTCAAATAAACCAATCAGTAAAAACGACAACAAACGGCCTGAGATTAAACGTACGGATAGAAAATGAGAATTAAGTTTCAAACCCCCCACTCTAATGCTTAATGTTTGGTAGTTCAGATTAAGCCACAAGCCAGATGATCGCTTTCGCGGAGATGTCCAGGAGTTCCATCATTGTGCTTCTCGAGTCCGGTAAACTACGCAACTGTACATGAGCGCCAGGATCGAAAGATCATAAATGTTTGGGTAGCTCATTTTTAGATGACTGAGATGGCCTAAGTGGTAGGAAAAAACTGGAACGTCATTAGGTTCCGTCTTGTACCAGAAAGCTGAGAAGTTGAAATGATGCCAAGGACTAACAAGGGTATCATATTCGTATAATTCTAATAAGTTACTTGCTAATGCTTCATGAAGTTTAATCTTGGTATCGCGAAAGGTGTATGCATTAAGTATCGTAGCATTCCTAAGTCGTGATCATCAGGACTTTGTTGCTGTCCCACAAGACAACTCATTCTTCTGCACTGCTAGTATGCAGTAGTAGTCCAACTTTCCACCCATCATCAAATTGAGGAGCCAGTTGAACCATCTCTCGGAAATTCATCCATATTTAGCGTCGAAATCGAACTGGCGGCAGTACTTATGGGAGCGGAAGGCCCATTTTCGACTGTAATCGTCGACCTAATGCGCAGCAGAGATTTAATACGCTTGATTTGAGCTTCGTTGAAGTTGCCAGTGTTGTGCAGACTACATTGCAACCCTTGTGTCGGTTCTTAGCTTTTTGGTACACCCAGCAAAATATATTAAAAGTTATGGTAGCTTGAGATATCTTTCAAGGGAGACCGCGGAAAATGGTTGCAACTGTATTTATTAGGCCATCGCGGATGTTTCCACAAGCTGGAAACTACGTCATGAAGCGAGAAGCACTGGGCTAGAAATGTTCAGGCTCACAATCAAGGCCAATCAAGGCACGCCCACGTTTGGTCCGTAGTCATCTCGCGACACTCCAATCGACGTGAGGTTCGATTATTCAGGGTGACTCGCTTCCGGACACATACGCGTGCAGTAACTGGCCCAAAATCAAGTCAGGAACCTTCCGAGAACAAACACCTGACATCTCATCCCCAAGTTGACTCGTCACTCCGAGTCCTGTCCTGATGAAACCTAACAGCCGGTGTTTACTGTACGGACCACCACCTAGCGATAAAGCGAAATTCTGGGAATACAAAACATTGTGAACATATTCGGCTCGTAAATGGAGACCACACACTTTCCGGCTGGCTCCGAGACTTTTCAGGTGGCATACTATATACGGAAGCTGACATCACAGCACATCTACACTGACCGAAGATCCAAGAGGATCTTGGTCCATACACTGATATATCTGACTAGTGCAAACCAACCTAGCAGCGCACTCAAAATTCTCCACCCAAGCCAACTAAATACAAAAGAGATTTGGCTCATTTGCCATACGCCTCAATTGATCACTTCCGCATCTACTCGTTCATTGAAGAAACCATTCTAACCACTAAAAGATTGACCTAAACCCACTCACCCACGGTGTTCATAACAAGTACTCCCTAGATAAACGTCAGATAATCCCACGGTGGCGCAGCGAATTACTTGCATTCAACTACGCTGTGTAGTCATAAAACTTGTAGAGAAACCAAAGTACCCGATATACCGTAGTTTTTAAACAACCAGCATAAGCACTGAGTAGCTTCGCGAACTTCATAATTCCTTGTGATACCCAAAATTTACACAAATATTTCACTGTGTACGCTCAAAGAATCCGCACTTCAAGACAAACCTTTCATTGGCCTGAAAAAACGTGATGAAACGAGGTTCCACAATCCCAGCTCCGGAAGGCAGATCAAGTCCACACAAATATTTGAACGAGCAGATATTGATTCCCGGAAAAAACCCATCGCCGTTATCTTACAAAAACTAGATAGAAGCTTAGAAGTTCTGCTCGCATTTACTTGCACTGATGTACTCACTTTCGCTGCCAACAACCATAATAATCGATTGCTTTATAGCTACCGTATTCCTGCTCTAAACGCTCTTGGTGGAAAATTACAATTGACCGGCGAGCTTTCTTGTTCTGTGCTGCGCAACAATATTCTTTTAACTGGAATATGTTACCTGACTAATGTGCCACATTTGAACCTGCTTGGCTTGGACTGGGTCGACAGACTGAAGCTAATGGAAATTCCCATGAACGCTATATGCAAACTTGTAAACTCGGATGTCTCTCAAACCTCAAAACGGACAGAACTCTTGAGAACTTATTCGGGTGTTCAACGATACCCTCGGAAAGTGTTCAAAGACGAAAGCTGTTCTGTTTCTACGTCAGAATGCAAAACCTGTGATCCGTCCAAGGAGGCCTGTTCCATATGTCGTCTTGATCAAGAGCTACAGAGACTGCAAAACGAGGAAGTCATGCAACCAGTCAATCATTCAGAATGGGAAGCACCGATTGTGGTAGTCAAAAAGCCCAAGGGCAAAGTCAGTATATGTGCATACTTTTCAACTGGTCTTAACGCGACACTAGAGGATCATCAATGCCCGTTGCGGTTTCCAAATGAATTGCTTTCCAAGCTGAACGGTGGAAGATGTTTTGCCAAATTGGATCTATCTGATGCGTATTTGCAGTGTCAGACGAGAGTAAGCACCTACTTACGATCAATACATATCGTGGACTTTTCCAATACAACCGACCACCATTCGGTGTTAAGTCCGCACCGGCAATATTCCAGCAGATAATAGACAATGCTACAAGGACTATCATTCGCTGTTGCTTATTTGGACGATATTACCTTCGTCGGCTCCCAGAAATTTTTGATGAACGTCTCAGTCAAGTACTGAACCGAATTCAAGACTATGGATTCCACTTCAGAAGTGAAAAGTGTCAATTTTCCATGGATTCCCTCAAATACCTCGGGTTCATTATTGATCGTCATGGTCGAGGACCGAACCCGGAAAACATAGATGCCACCAAACTAGTGCTGCCAGCCACCTACATTGAAGTCATTCCTGGGACTCATCAGTCACTATAGTGCTTTCGTGCCAGCAATGCATGATATCCGTGGTCCACTGGACCGTCTGCTACTCAAGGACTCTCAATGGAATCGGGATGATGCATCCAGCTACGGCGTGGGTACAGTCATTCCACATACGTTTGAAGATGGCTCGGAAAAAGCCATAACCCATGCCGCTCAATCTTTGACAGCTGCAGAACAAAGTTACAGTTAGATCGAAAAAGAAGCCTTGGTGATTGTTTTTGCTGTGAAAAAGTTCCACAAGCTGCTTTATGGCCACAAATTTACTTTAATCACTGACCACAAACCATTATTGGCCGTGTTCGGATCTAAGAAAAGCATTCCTGTCTACTCTGCTCATCGACTTCTAAGATGGACTACAATATCACTCGGTCACAACTTCAGCAACTTTAGCATCCACTGACAAGATCGATCAAGCGGATGAATTGTCAAGACATTTAGAAAATAGACCACCGGACTCGGAAGATTCAGTTATAGCTCAGATCTCAGCTAAACCGGAAATACGATGTACACTAATGGAAGCCGTCAAAGGTACTCCAATCTCTGGAAACATCACAAAAGATATTCAGCTGGGTTCCTGGTGAGTCTCTCGAAAAACAAAATTAGTTTGTTAGTGAGAGTATTTCGCTAGTACTCCGATCTCATTCGCAACGATACGCAAGGCAACCATACAGGATCCGCTTTTGAATCAAGTAAAGAACTAATAACTCTCTAAGTAGCCACAGAACATTAAAAAATAAAGACTTGCTTCAGTTTTATTAAGGATGATTGTCACTTTCCGTTGTTGATGATTGCTTATTATTCGCAGAACGCGTTATCGTACCAGAGGAGCTGCAAAAGCTTGTTTTGCAACAGTTTCATAAAGGACATCCCGGGATCAACCGGATGAAATCATTGATCCGAAGCTATGTTTATTGGCCTCATATTGACAAATAACGATAGAAGCTGCCTTACAAGCTTTACAAACCGTTTCAGAGCGCATGCTGACAAAACACTTTCCACCAAATCCAGATGCATTGATGCTGACAGAACCAATCGATTATTTACTGAAATCTAGTTGAGTGCATTCAGCCTCGGGACTAAGTACAACTCCGACACCGCAGATACGAGTCATTGTATCAGGATCACCAGAGAACTGAATAGTAAATTGTCAGACCTCTGGGTTCGTTCTTAGCTGCTCCAGAAGTGCCACCGAACGGGAGGTCCTGAAAACTGTTCAATTAGTTTCCTTAGGGTTGTAATTGAGGGTTCGTAGTATAAGCATATGTCCGCAGCCTAGGGGACCATTCAGAAAAACCTCATAGACTGGTATGGTTTCCATGCTTTGCTTTCGAGTGACACGAAGCAACAGATAAACGGTTAGGGGTAGGCCAGGCACAGTGAATACGACCATTAGGTCATGACAAACTGTCAGGAAGCGAAATACATTCCAGAGGTTCCTTGTACGGCGGTTGTCACAAGAGCACCGGCGCGCTTGTCAGTGATCGAATTCACACCCGCCACTGGGACCTTTGTTCAGCGTGAAAGTCAGATGTGAAATGAATACTCAAACTGACAAAAAGCCGTTATATCCTCACCTAACACTGGCCGGGTTACTCCTGCGCTTCACTCACAAAAAAGCTTTATTGGTGAGTCAACCACGCCCCAAATCATGATGACGTGAGATGCGGTTCGTTACCGACACAATCCGAGGGCTGTGTTCCCTTGGGCAACCCATAGTCCCATCGCCAAAAGGCGCGATACGATCTTGCGGTGGGTCTCAAATGTTATCATCGTGAAGCTATAAACCTCAAATGGAACTGGTGGATTAGATCGGAGTTGACATAATGGTCCGATCAGTGCGTTTACAGAAAAAGCATCGCAGACCGCATGGGAAGTTTG